TAAAAAAAAACTTTTTGTTGAAGTATTTTTTTTTTGTTTCTCGTTCGGTATCCGGAATTTCGCCTCGACTAATCCGGACCCGACTCGTGTCACGCACCTAGAAATGGTGGGTGAGTCTCCCAGCGGGGGCTGCTACGTACACAAGATCTCGAGACCTTATTTAAACTGGAATAAGTCGTTTACCACTTGATCCAACCCCTCGTTGGTAACTTTTTGTTGAAGTTGAGAGATTAAAAATGAGTTTTAATCTATTTTTTGCTAAAATTTTGATCTTTCTAAATTATTAATTTCTCATAAATTCTTATGTTTTAAATCTAAATTTAAAAATTTTGAATTATAATATGACGTGAGAAATTAACTTGAAATTTTTGTTTAAAGAAAAATTGAGATTAAATCTAAATAATGTTGCTTTGTACCAAATTAAGAAAATTTAAAATGGAGGTTCTATTTCGGTGGGACTTAAATGAGATGTAGACTAAATTTTAGGACTAAAATGACATCTGAGAGAACCTTACGGACTGAAGTGCAAATCGATCCCAAAACGGTTGTCGAGCCCCAACCCCCATTCTCGGCAAAACCTCAACCAGATCTGATTTCCCCCTCTCCCTTTCCCGTTCGCTTGCCGACCAAACGGCCCTGGTTCTCGAACAGCCTCACATCAGACAAAGCGCAGCCCTCCCCGTCCTTTGCTTTTTCTGAAGAGAGAGCAGTGCTTGTCGGTAGAGGAATGGGTCAATTTTGTGCTGTCCGATCAACGGTGAAGAAAACAGGGGAGCAGTCGAGGGGCTAAAAAGAAGAGAGAATAAGCAATCTGAGGGAAGTCTTAGGTTTTTTTTTTAAGTTTTTGTATAAATAGGGAGGGTGAATCAGAGAGAAGGGGGCGTACGGAAAAAATCGGGCCGGAAAAAAACAATCGGGCCGAGAGAAGAAAAGGAGGAGATACGAGAGCCTTGGGTGCCGGAGGAAGGAGGAATTTCTTGAGTGCCCTATTGCTTATAATCTGATCTTTGAGGTACAATACTCGTCCCTTTCAATTTCATGTAATTTATTTACAAGGAAATGAGAAATTGATTAAGTTTTTGCTCTGCAATTATTTCTGTTGATGTTGTGAATATTTGAATTCATCAAGTTTCAGGTACCGACCCAATATTGGGTCTCCCTAATTCGAGATTCTATCCATCTTATCTTGTATGTGCGCCTCTTATTGTGGAGACTTCTGCTTTATGAATTAATTTTGATCCCCTGTGCTCCCCGACTATGTGTTTGTGTAAATTCCTCCTTGTGAAGTCATGATTTTAGATTTTTGCATATGCCTGGTTTTGCTTTTTTTCTCTGAACATTTTGCCTCCTAATAGTTTTACGGTTTACTTATTTTTCTGATGCATCCATTTTAGATTATAGCCTTCCATTGAAACAAAGAGATTAATATCATGTCCTTCCATTGTTAACTAAAATTGTTACTAGATTAAAATTAAAATCGAAACTCTCCTTCAACTAGGGGATTTATATAGTATAATTATTACAATTTTAATACTTTAGTACAATTATTGTGAATTTCATTCTGTAGTACAATTATTTAGAAAACATTAAAAAAAACAGTGTAGAATAAAAATGAATTTCCATCATTCGAATTGGGAGGTGACTGCCAATTCTCTGTTAATTGGTCTCCTCGGGATGTTGGCACTTGTATGCGCTCCATCTGCATGGCCAAAGGGGTTTGGTGGCATTGTCAAACTGTTCGCTTCTCCTTCCAACATATGAACCACGAATTTCATTGATGATCGGTCTTTTGGGATCACTGGATGCACCAAAGTCCAATAATTGTAAGTTTCTTGCTATCTTGGCATGTCCCTCATTTTCTTTTCTAATCCCAAATTCTCCTGTGTCCAAACAATTATACGCCCATTCCGGAAAGTAGACTTGGCTCATACTCTGCGCTGTGATATCAATATTCTAATAAAAAATTCCTTCCTCATCTTTAAATACAATTATTTAAGTGTATTTGGTTAAATATTTTAGAGGATAAGAGTCTATTAATATTAACTTTTCATTCGGCCAATCAACTTGCTCCATTCCATCAATTTGCTTCAGTTAATAATGTTGTTTAAACCAAAAAAGTTGGGCCATTAAGACAGAGAAGGCCTATAGGGAGACAGAGTTGACCATTAGCCATATTGTCAGTGCCAGCTTTGTAATCTGGATCCCATCTAACACTGCACTGTCAATGGCTAATGGAGAACAACATTTCACGAGTAACACTGGCTCCGTACGTTAAATTTTACTGCGTTTCATCAAATCGAGTAGTTGAAAGGTGTAAATTCTTATAATTTGTAAGGTGAAGGGCCATCAAGGTTCATAAGTTGAAGGGCAACTTATGGGTTTTTATCTGTAACCAAGATGGATACCAACATTCAAATCTTTAACCCACGAGCGACGAGCCAGATATCCTAGAGGGGAATATGCCTAGTTGACGCCAACATTCAAATCTTTCAAACAACCAAGACCATTGTTGTCAAAATCTAGATTTAAATCTTAAAATCTTATGATTTTACGATTTCAACAAGACATTTCGTGTAAAATCTATACTAAAATTTGAAATTCATAAAATCTGGGGATTTCATGGTAAAATCTAGATTTTACCATGAAATCAGGTGAAATCAAGTAAAATCTCGATTTTACCTTCTATTTAGCAACTAGACTTTTAACCTATTTCCTTTTGAACTTCTCATCTTGGGTTAGTGAGTTTTGACTAGATAACCCATAAATTAAGCTCATTTTTCATTTTAAAAACTCATAACTCACACAACCCAACCACAAATCAACATTTTAATCAAAAATTCGGGACAAATTTGATTTAATCATATTTAAATTCTAAATTTAAGTCATCTTCTTCGTTTAATTTATTTGTGTTGTTGGATATTTAGATTTTAATTAGCTAATTTCAAGTTTCTAACTCTAAATTTGATTTATTGTTATTTAATTTTGATTTTATATAATTTATTATATATTATATATTAAATTTTGTAAAATATCGATTTTACCGATTCGATTTTACGATTCCGATTTCACCTAATCAAAACGATTTTAGGTAAAATATCGATTTTGACAACCTTGACCAAGACTGAGCACAAATATGGTAACAGTATCCCCAAAAAAATGAAAAATGTAAGATCTACCTTCGACGATCTCAAAAATGAAGAATGTGAAATGGTACAAACCAAGGCTCTATTCTTGGATTTGCTCCCTCTGCTTCTCTTCTTAGTTGATAGATCATCTGTGGCGGGAAATGGGTGTAGGATTTTGGGAGATTAAGCGGAAAATTAGAAGTGAGTTTACATCTTGTAAAGGCCCAGGTTGGCTTACATATACAAAACAGCCCAAAAACGAAGCCCAGATAGGTTGTCCACCTCGTTACGTACCTCCTTCGTACTTTAAAGCCCATAATTGTACAGAACTAAGAACCTTCGTACTTTCACAGCGTCCTCCATCTCTCTCCGCCGGCCGATCACCGATTGTAACCCGTGGGACATGCACGTGAAATTCCGTGAATCTTCAGTTTTCTTACACGTTCTCTTCCCAAAACCCGAAACGACAACGTTTTCCTCAGACGCCTCCGTTGATGAAGACGATGCCAGCGATCTCTGAAGACTCAGATTATCCTCCTTGTTCTTCAGTTGCAACCTCTTCACCCCGCGATCATCGCCGTCGGAGATAATTCCGTTAACGTCACCATTCTCCGTTATGGTGATGTTCATCATTGTTTCGCAAGTACACTTCAACCCCCTAATTTGGAGTCTTCGCCGACGAGCATTTCTCGTACTGATCACCGCGAGTCCGTTAATATCGTCACCGGAACCTGACGTCATTCCCGGAGGATCTTTCTGCATCTTCCTCTTCATTTGCATGAAAGGTGAAGGGGACACATGGACATCACTAAAGTTGAAAGTATATAGGTAGCGTGAAAAGCGGCAAATCTAGACCGTTGATCTTCCAATATCCTGTCGGAGGCTGCCACATGGATATTTTTGTACCACTTACTCGGATTTTTCGGCAGAGACGTCGACGGTAGGGATTGAGTTCGGGACACGTGGAGAATGGATCGTGGGGTTAGTGATTCGGCCTGGTAGATGAGGGGGGCCCACTGGCGGTGTCTAGAAATAGCATTACGTGGCGTCTGGTGCTTTTTTTGAGGGGATTGATGTGTTTTTTCTCTGACAAGGAATGTTGACCCAAGTTGGGGGGATCGGGGTGACACGTGTCGACTCCACAGTAGTCGCGTGTGGGACTCGGGACCTCGTACGTTGTGACAATAGCAGATATTTTGCGTCCGTTGTCGTTGTGAGATCTCAAGCTTTTGAGCTGTGAAAGGCAGAAGGTGCAATTCAGCCCCTGTACCTGCAATGTTGTGGCAATTCAGCCCCTGTACAAGAAACACTGGCAAATCAGCCCTTCTACTACATGAAATCCGCAAATCACCCCTTCTGTTAAGGATGACGTTAGAAAACATCATTTTTCCGTTTCATTTTTGTGGCCCGTTAACAAAAGACGATGATTGGACAATGACATGGCGTTGATTAAAAAAAAAACCACCTGATTTGGGAAAAAAAATATTTCTAAGATTTTTCTTTTTTACTCTTACGGTATTTAAATATAGAGATTTTTTAACATGTGTTTTTAAGGTACAAGTTAAGCCTTATTTATTATAGTATTTGTAATTAATTTTACACAAAATTTTATACAAGATTCAAATATAATATAATATTTTACTTTAAAATCTGTAAAAAATAATGAATATAATATAAAAATTTATGTAAAATTAATTAAA